CTGTCTCACATTACACTGTTTACCTTCCCAGGAGCTTTTCAGTTGGTACTGATAGTGAAGTATAACTTTAAAAACCCTGTTTTTGCATTGTCTTTTGTGAGTGAGGCCTTTGCAGCTTTTTACTTCTTTACAATTTGATCTAGTGCTAACCTTCTCCATTTCTTTTTAGGCCTTGAAGGGAAAACATTAAGACTTTACATTTCACACTCAGTTCTGTTAAGCAACTATGGAAACGGAGAAGCAACTCGCCTATGTTACCCCGACAGGTAAGTAAAATACTCAGTATTTTATTTATTTTAAATTGCTTAACTGACCTGAAGTGTTCTCTGTGGAAAAATCATATTTGTTAATTTCTTAACAGTACTGATTTAAAAAAAAATCATCAAAAACTTACAAAATAGTTCTCTCAACAGTATTCTGCTTGATTGCATTTCTTTCAAAATTCATTACAATCATAAAGTTAACATTTCCTTAACTTAGTAAATACTAGTGACTCCAGACTCATTTGCCTTCCAGTAGTGCTGGTCAAGAAAAGAACAAGTTAAAAAGTAACACCTACATGTGTAGGTGCATTTGAGAGGTACAAATTCTGCTTTTAGGCAGCTGTTTAGCTTAAAATTAGAGGAAACAGATGATGAAAGGCTTGACTGGAAGTGGGCTGGCATGAGAACTTATTGGGTATGTATTAGGGACTGCCCTGAAACTGACTGTTTTGTCTATATCAGGAACATGTTTTATGATACTTAGCCAAGTTTCATGTTTTTTTTCTCTGCCTTCCAAAGGTTTTGATGATCTGCACTGACCTTTCTATACTAAAGAGTTTTTGTAGGTTTTAAATGCTTTTCAGAAAAAAAACAGTGTATATGTTAAGAGGGTATGTAATGCAGTTGAAGTGGCAGCATGCTCCATATGACCTCATATTTTAAACCAGAATTAGTTTAATTTAGAAGATATGTTGCTTCTCAGCATTTTAGAGTTATATTTAGATAACAGGTGGGAAACTGCTAAGTATCTAAATTGACCTAATTCGGTCACATTAAATTCCTGTGTAGGTAAGTATTTTTGGAATGCTTTGTTAATTAAGATAGCACCATAAAAGCACAGGTTTGAAGTGTGCTTGCTAGGCTTAATTGCAGGGTAATAAGATCAATTTGGATAACTTTCTAATATACAGTAAGCAAAGTCTTAATGTTTATAGAACAACTGTTACTGCTTTTATATGTATATGTCACATGATGTAAAAATGAGAAGCTGAAAGGAAGATCTGCATCATTTTATATGTACTTTTTATAAAACTGTTTTATTTTAGAAAATTACTGAAAACTAATATATCAGTTTAACCTGTTTTTTCATCCTAACCAGGTAACTCATAGTGGAGGGCCAGTTAGCCACAGTATTATGGAGAAAGAGGTTGAAGTTGGAAGCAATAGTGTTACATAAAAATAGTTTGATGTAGTGAGAAATACCAAGTCTTATGGGATGGATGCTTCCTGTGGAGGATTTCCCTTGGTCTCAAACCTGAGGTCAGGGTTGTGAAAGGAGGTTGGACTGTAGCCCTCCCCTTTTATTCTTAGTCATCAGATTCAGGACTGACTTGTGTTAATTGTTGGTCATTTTCTTTGGAAGTGGAGAAAGAAGCAAGTGGTCACTGAAGAGTGTAGTTCCTGGACAGCCAGATTCTAGGTCTAAACTGCAGAAATTCATGGGAGAGTGGGCATGAAGAAGAATTTAAATTCAGTGTCTGAGATGAGCTGGTTGTGCTGACGGGGTCTCCCTGGGGAATGAGAGGAAGGAAACCTGTTCTCTTTCGTTTTGCTTTTTTTCCCCCCTCTGCTAGTTTTATGCAAATCCTTCATTGTTTTATTAAAAAACTGAGAAAGCTCGTTGTGGGAATCTTTTCCTGGATGTGATGCATGCTTTTCTTTTTTAGCTTGCTGCAAGCATAAAAGGAATGCTTTTGTGGGAGTAATGAGTGGAAAGACGAAGCTGAGACTGGAATGGCTGCATTATTGTTCAGCTGTAGCATTCACATCCCTGAACGCTAGTACCTAAATGTTATTTCTTTGATCACGAAGGAGGCAGTTGCATCAAACTTTCTTCATATTGTAGTGTAGTATCCTCTTTGATATGGGCAAATACTTTGAGGTTGGAAACGTTTCATTAGTGCCCTTTCAGTTCAAAACAGGTTCATGAAAGCAAAAAAAATCAGTTCTGAGAAGTATTGCCAAATGAATGCTGCTATTTAGAATGTATTGGAATAGCAAAGTCATACATTCAGCTAAGTTCAAATAGAAATTTAAAATGCTCTTCATGTTCTGGGTTTATGGCAGTGAACTTTTTGGTAAAGCAGGCTTGGCACAGCTGGAAAAGCAGCTTATGTTGTGTGCCTCATCCCTGCACTTCCTAGGGTTCAGGCTGCAGGGGGTATCTTTGAGACTGTACTGAATCCTCTGGAAAAGGGCTGTGTAACAGGGCGTTGAGGCTCTTCCCTTTGTCTGTGAGTTTTCCAATTTGCAGGGACTCCCAGGGCACTACCTGGAATGTAAAGCAGGTCCCCAGATGCTATTTTATCTTGATGGGTTCAGAAGGGGAAGAAGAAATGATGAAGGCTTGTGCTCTCAGTTAGATAATGCTTTCAGTTAGACATCTTGCTGAACCGTACAGCTCAGGTGGGGAACATCCTGATGTTGTGAAACTAAAGACTTTAGATCCAGATTTTAAATGTGCATTTAACTTCCCTAAAGAGTGAAATTATTGCACTTCTCAGTGCTCAGACATTTACAGATCCTTAAGTTGGGTGAGGGTTTTTTGTTGGGTACCCATTATATATGATTGTGCTGGGGGATAAACCATGGACATTTTAGAAACAGTCTTGACAGAAGCCACAGTGAGGGGCAATCCGTAGAGAAGAAGAGCGATCACACTGTTTCAAAAGACTATTTATACTATGAGGTTTTGTTACCAAACTCCCCAGGCTTTGTATTAAGTGGCTTTTTCCCCCCCCACTTCAAAAACAAAAAATAAGAGTAATGTTGCTTTTGTATTCTTGTGAGCCTAAATCATTGCTTTTCCAGCTGGTGAGCTGTTTGAAATTGATTTCCTTGAATGAGGGCAGTGTTGGTTGATGATCAAGGAAATCAATTTCACTTTGGTGATTAGCCTGTTAACATTAGTGAGTTGTTACAGAATGTACTGTATTGGTGGTTTTGTTTTTCTAAGTCAAGAGATGAGTGGGTGGAGTGAGAACTAGGCACTTAGATCTTGGGCACTGAGGAGTTCCGATAGTTGTGTTTTTTTTTTTTTTGTTTAACAAGGGTGGGGTTTTCTGTGGTTTACCTGTTTATGAATGGTTTATTCATTAGCTTTCCAACTCTTGACATATGCTCTGTTGAGATTGTGGATAGTTTGTATGGGGGAACAAGGAACTCCTTATTGCTGTGATGTGTAGACATACTCTAAAGCCAATATCATTTATCTTAACGCTATTGGTAATAAGAGTTTTATTTAATGTTGCAATCCTTTTTAAATGCAACGTGTTTTGGTATTTTCTGTTTAAAACTGTAACTTTTTTTTTTTTTTCCTCTGTCTCCTTTTTAAGAACTTGAGAATCTAAGTGATGCTCCATTTTCCGGTGATGAAGAAAATGGTGGGTCTGAGGAACGAAAAACTGAAATCAATGGAAATTGGATTCCTGCAACTTCCATTACTGAGGCCAAAATAAATGCTAAAGCGAAGAGACGGTTGAGGAAAAATTCTTCTAGAGATTCTGGGAGAGGAGACTCTGTTAGTGAGAATGGAGAGACGCTGAAGATTGGAGTTGTTGTACCAACGAGCCCAAAAGGGAAACTCCTGGACAGGCGATCCCGATCTGGAAAGGGAAGGGGTCTGCCAAAGAAAGGTTGGTGTAGTGTAGTGAAGACAATTGCATGATAAAGATTCTGTCTGAAACATAGTAATTTTTTTGCAACTGGGAACCATTTTAATAAGCCACAGCCTCTGCGCAGGTATTTGGTTCTTTATGTTAGATAGCAGGTTGCCATAGAGGCTAATATATTGACATTAACTTCTGTCTGTAAGGCAAGTATCTTTTCTTAGCAAGTTTAATACACAAATTTGAACTGTTGGTGGTTCATGGGACTGTTATTAATGCAAACTTAAAGCATGATTACGTTTGAAAGTACAGTTTCAACCTTTAGTAATTCTTGTGCAGTTTCATACTGCTTTTAGTATCTATTAGAAAGTGATTAAAAGACTGGTTGCTAAAGTGGGAATAAAACCACACCTTTTTCAGTGTATATTGTTAGAGTCAGGAGGTGGGCACATGCAGTGATATGTCCCACTAAAGTGAAAAAATGTTGGGTTGAACTCAAAAGTATTTTTGTAAACTGGTCATCCTTGTTTACTGTCCCGTATTTTTTCAGGTGGAGCAGGTGGTAAAGGAGTTTGGGGAACACCAGGTCAAGTGTATGATGTGGAAGAACTAGACATTAAGGATCCTAATTATGATGATGACCAGGTATGCAAATAATTTCTTCGCGGTGTTGGTTTTTATTTCCTTCATTGATGTCAGTTGCTGTGATGCTTATATTAAAGAAAGTTTAACCTTCTAAGTTATGTGAATGTCTGCATGGCTGTACTAAGTGCTCATTGTTATGTTTGAGAATGGATTACTGGCAAGTTGAAGACAAATGGTGTAGAAGTGTCACAGTGTAGCTCACAGATCTTACCCCACCAGCTCTCTTTCTGTGCCAGATAATGCAGCACCCTTTTCCCAGGGGTGTTATTTTGGTGCTGGTTCTCATGGAGGTGAATATTGCAGTGCTGCTCTGAATTACAAACAGGCACTGTGCTAAAAATGCAAGCAGGGAGTTCAGTTTAGGAGTTCATTCTGGGACAGTATCCTTTATGGATTTTTCTCTTCCCTGTATTCCCATCCCTCCCAAGATCTTGTATCTACTTGGTATAAATGCTTAGTTAGTGCAAAGTTCATAGTCTGGATATTTTGGTTGCATGTCTTTATTTAGGGTATGTCATGGAAGATTGTACCTTACAGCCATATTACTGGCGGGGGGAAATAAAGTCAAGCTCATTGGGCAAAGAGTGCATTATAACATTAGATCACTGAGGATAGGAAATACTGATTACAAACACAGATTACTAAAGGGTCTGAGATCAATACAGCTGTGAGATCATAAGTAAATTCTATATAACACAAGCAGATCGATGGTGGTGGCCTTTGAGCAGAGGCTGTTTGTTGTAGCCATAGCTGCTGAGAGGATGGTATGTGGGAATATCAAAATTTTCTTCTAGTATCAGATTTTTTTCCCTGCAAATTGATACTTTACATGAGCAGAGATCACTATTACAGAGGAAGTTAATGAGTGTATAAAAGTAAGTTTAATGAGGAATTAATATTCCATCTAAGTTCTGCATCCATAGCTTTTCTAAGCTTGAAAAGGAGACTGATGGGATGAAAGGATAGGCTTTTGGACTTCTGCTGTAGTTCTTGATCATGGAAGGCTTCTCTCCAAAAAGCATTAGTTGGAAAACTTTGCTCAGATTTCTGTGACCTGTAGTGTTGTTCTGAATGTTACTTGTGCAGACTGTGAGGAGCGGGGAGCTGAATGACAGCAGGGGGATCTGGTTGTGCTGGAGCTCTGCAGGACCACGTTATGCACGAGGCAGTTGCTATGTTACTCTTTTTTTTTTTTGCCCTTAGGGAATATTTTCACTCACAAGTATTCTGAAAATGCCTTTTTTCTCATCTGTATCATCTGTCTGGTCATGCAGTCAGTAAGACAGAGGGAGAGCAGGCAGGGTGCTGCAGGGACTGGAGTGCCACTCGCAGGGAAAGGTGCTGAAAGTTAAATCTTGTGCTGTGGCACCACTAACTCTGGGCTGGGACAGGAGTTTGTCGCTCTCCCTTCGGTACACAGATACTTGATCTCTGTGTTCCTGTGGTGTCAGCAGAATCCTAGGAACAGAGTTGGGAGTGTTTACCATCATTTAACATTAAATTCAGCCTTTCACTTGAATTCCACTAAGGGTAAATTCAAAATATAAGCAGCATGATGTTTAGCCAGCGTTGTCCACAGAATCTGATGGTTTTTGGCAGAGTACTGACTAGCAAAGCATTAAGGATTTAGAAGATGTATTTAGATGCTATTAGCACTGCATAAGATGTAAGAGACAGTACTGTGTACAAAAGGATATGTGCTTTTGTTGTATTTTGAAATAGGAGAACTGCGTCTATGAAACAGTAGTTTTACCTCTGGATGAAAGAGCATTTGAAAAAACTTTAACACCAATCATACAGGAATATTTTGAACATGGAGATACTAACGAAGTTTCGGTACGTCGCATGCATTTTTACGTATTTATTTTAGGGTGCAAATCTGTAGCATACAAGAGTATCCCAACTGCTAGCTATAAATGAGCATATAGAGATGTTAGCAAGAAATGTGCAGTAAGAATACCTAAGCAGAGTCGTTACATGAGCAAAGGCATGGATGTAAATATATTAAATAAAAACATATAAATATTTATATAGTATATATTTATATAGTAAGAATTATGAAATCTTAATCTGTTTTGTTTTCCAAATCTTGTTTAGGAGATGCTGAAGGACTTAAACCTTGGTGAGATGAAATACAGCGTGCCAGTGCTGGCTGTTTCCTTGGCATTAGAGGGGAAGGCCAGTCACAGGGAAATGACATCTAAGCTTATCTCTGACCTCTGCGGGACAGTAGTGAGCAAAACTGACGTGGAAAAATCATTTGATAGACTGCTTAAAGAACTACCTGAATTGGTGTTGGATTCTCCCAAGGCACCACAGGTATAGTTGTAGTTCTATGCTAGTAGTTAAAAGCTTTTCCTTTTAAATTGTGGCTAATGTTGATAAAGTAATCTGAAATACTCTGTATTTTGAAAAATATCTATGGATTGTCTTACTGCTTGTAATCCCCTACCGTTTTCCCAGGCGGTGTTTTTACTTTGAGATGGCTCATTTAAATAAAATCTAAAAAACCAAGCATGTTATAATTGTCTGCTTAGAACTACTTTGAAATTCAATGTTTAATTAAAAATGCTTCTGTTTGGTTGCAGTTGGTGGGCCAGTTTATTGCTCGAGCTGTTGGAGATGGGATTCTAAGCAGCACCTACATAGATGGCTACAAAGGCACCGTGGATTGCGTCCAAGCTCGGTAACTTTCTTGCTTCCTATATAGCTCCAGTTTTCTATTCCCAATGGTAAAGATGATGATCAGGATTTTAGGACTTCAGGATAAATCATGTAGTTCTCTATAACTTCTTATTTTTTAATGATAAAAAAGAAACCAACGAAGTCTGCAACAACAACAACAAAATCGAGAATGACTCAGGTCACAGGAGAATTACTAAAAGAGCCTGAAAAATTTATTAATACATTTGAGTTCGGTTTGTCAGGTTTGTTGTCCAGCTTATGTTTGAGAGTGGAAAAAAAAGCTGAAACAAGAAGTGATTATAGAAGGTTTTGTCTTTAGAAAAAGCTTTAATGTGATTAATGAGTAAATATAGCATCAGGACAGCTGCTGTAAATATGCTGTGAAATACACAAGGGATTAACTGTTTTGTCTTATAAAGGTTTGAAGCTTGTGCAGTGCTTTCCCAGACTGTCTCTCTAATGCTTTATTCATGAAGAAGTATAATTGTTTTCCATGTCAGGGTGAGATGTTTGAAGGAACAATCCCTGATGCAGAGGGACATTTCAACAACTAGTCATGTTTTATTATTACTCCCTCATAAGCGTATGTTCCAGGCTTGATAGAGAGGTGCTGAACTCTTGTAGCTTCTAAAAGCTCCATTTGTAATGATTGTAGTTGGGTACTTTCAGAAGGAGCTCCTTCACTTGAGGGTTCAGACTGTGAAGATTGTCTGTTGGTGACACAGCTGTCTTCCGTGATCTGAAAGATCGTAGCCTCTGTGCTGCACATCTGGGATGCTTTGCTGCTTTTGCTAATTTTTGGCCAGTCTTTTCTGCTCGTTAAGCCTTGACGAATAGAGATATAGAGGATTGGGATAACTATTCCTTCTTTAGCTGGATGGTGCTGAGCAGGGTCTTGTTTTCACCTCTCTTCCTTTTTCATTCTTTTCTCAACAAACTGGCAAGCTTCCCGCTACCTTTTTGCAACTACATATTTGCTTTCTGAAGTGCTGTTTTGGCTTAAATTCTCAAGGTTTCATAATTCTTTAGACCCAAACAGAAAATATTTCAGTAGAAAAACAGTTCTTCAGTGTGGAAGCAACACAAGCCTATTTTGTTTGAGATACACGTGGTGCCAAGCTGCACTCTTGGAGGAGCCCAGATACAATCCATGTCTGCATGAGAAAATACTAAGTTCTTTCTTGCGAGGGTGCTTCAAGTTCTGCATTGATGATTCAGATCTGCTGCTGCCACAGACTGTTACCTGTCCTAAGCCTGCTATAACCACAAGTGTTACCCAGTTCTCAATCCAGATGTCCCCATGGAGTTGCTAACCCTGACCTCTTGCCAGGGATCTGCTCGCTTTGCCCAAAGAGGAATGGCAGTGGGGGGGGAGGTTACAGAGGCCTTTTAATGAAGTTCTGTAATAACTTTTTAAAACCCTAACTTTTTCTAGAGCTGCACTGGACCGAGCTACTGTGTTGCTGAGTATGACGAAGGGTGGAAAGCGTATAGACAACGTGTGGGGGGCAGGAGGTGGCCAGCAGTCTGTGAAACACCTTGTTAAAGAGGTAACTGACTTGTACAAAACTCTTCTCTCTAGAGTTTACTGCTTGTCTCAGCTTACCTTGTTTGGTTTGGAGCAAAGAGATGCATGTATTCTGTAGCAAAAAGATGTCTTGAGTATTGGGTTTTGTTGTTGGAGTGTTTTTTCAGAATTTATTTATACAAAGTAGTTTTTAAAAGCTGATGTAGATAACTTTGTTGATTTTGTAGTATTTGTCAGTGGAGGGAACATGCTAGTACAATATTCTGTATTGCAAGTGTACACTTATTTTTTGCTTTAAGCAAAACTTCTAAGCCCTTAGCTTTTTAAGGACTTAAAACATGAAGTGGTGAAGTAATTAGAAGAGTTAAGATGAAACTGGCTAAACGAGATAAACTATTATTTTTTGGCATCACTGATTAAAAGCACCATAATAATTAAAAAAAAAGGAAGAAACAGGAAAGCTCATAGAGATCTGTGCTATGAAGTAGGCAAGTTTAAAGGAAAAATCATGTTATAATTTCTAGGTGTGAGTGTAACAGATGATAGAAGGAGGAGTAGTTCAGGGGAGAAGATAAACTGAACCGTACCCACATTAAACTTTTATAGTGATAGGCATCTTACAAAGCAGTGCTTTTGGTGGTGTGTGTCTGTATTAGCACTATGAATAGGCATTTGGCTTACACTGTCTTTCAGGTTGCTGATGACATCTCAATTTAATTACACTTATAAAAACACTAGCAGCAAGTTTCAGGAACTAACTTGCTGCTGGGTTGATCGTAGATTATCCAAACAGTCGACAGCTTTAATTTTTTTGTCTCATTTATGTTGAGCTTCTTGTTTGTTTTAAAATTCAACAGATTGATATGTTGCTGAAAGAATACTTGCTTTCCGGAGATGTGCTGGAAGCTGAACGTTGCCTTCAGGAACTGGAAGTACCTCATTTTCACCATGAACTTGTATATGAAGTAAGGAAAGATCAAGAGTCCCTTTAATAATTGTCAGTAATACCAACAGGTTTGGGTTTGTTTTGATGTGGGCATGCAAATAACATAACTGGAATCTGAGGCTCAGGTTGCGAATTCTGGTGTTATTTGAATAACTAAATTGTTTCATGTAAAGTTAATGGTTTGCGTGCACAGTGTGCAAAAAGCAAGCTGCTGCTAACTCTGGGAAGATCCAGAATTAATTTTTGTTTGTTGGGTAAATAGCTGAGTTCAGATTATTATTGATTCCTAAAAAAAACCAGAAGAGCTCAGTTTATTTTGTGCTGAGGAGTAGCAGCAAAAAAGCCATGCTTTGTTTTGGTATTTATTTCCTTGTAGTTTCAGATATCTGGGTATTCTAATTGGTGTTAACTTTTTTTTTAAGCTTATAGAGTTTCCTTCTCAGGGTGGAATTGTTCCATCTAGCACATTTGTAAAAGCTCTGAGAGAGTTCAGAACCAGACTATATGAGAGAGAGATCATATTTGCTGCATCTGGGAGACTCTTCCCATTTGTACTCTTTATCTGCCAAACTGGGAAATGGTTGTTTACCAATAAAGCTGAATTCCCACAAGCTACAAAATTTTCTCTTCAGTAAATTGATTCCATTTAGAAAATGCCTTCACGATAGAGAACCAGAATGCTTTTAGTTGATGGGGGTTGTGCAGATTTGTAGATCTTAAAACTCCTAAGCTTTTCTGAAATCACAGATACAAAAAAATCACAGATACAGAATTAATTAATTGCCATCTGTACTGCAGCATATGGATACAGTCATGTGTCTCTCAAACCAGAAAGGCAATGCTTTGCACTCTGTCTAGTCCTTTCTGGTTTTTCATACCATTCCTATTCATCCAAATAATTTTTCTTTTCTAATAATAATATACTGATATTTTAAGTGCATTTAAGAACTGGACTTGTCTCCCCAGAAGATGCACACTAATGCACTCCAGTGTGCACCTCAGACGCTTACACAACATGGACTTGAACCACTTTGCATGATTTGTTTTAGGCTGTTGTGATGGTTTTGGAATCAACAGGAGAAAAGACCTTTAAAATGATACTGGATTTGTTGAAATCTCTCTGGACGTCTTCTGTCATTACTATGGACCAAATGAAAAGAGTAAGTGTGGCATTTAGAGAATTTTGGGTAAGGTCTTTCAAAATTTGTATAGTTTTTACCTTCTTTTAAATACTATTTGGAGTCTATTGCTGACTGCTGCTCTTTGTTAAATTCTGCACGGTCATTCTCTATCTCATACAAATAATCTGTCACTGATCTACGTGTGAGACTTGCCATGTGCTGGGAGAAGTACAAATGAATTCTGAGCAGTAGTTCTCTACAGAATTGTGAGGTACAGAATATTTGAATGTTCAGTCAAAGATTTCACTGCTTTTATGCAATTAAATAGTTAAAACTAATAATTTAAAATGCTGCAGTATAGCTTCATTTTTCTTAAATTCCATTTTTCTTTTAATACAGTAGTTCTTCATAATTCAGGAAGTACAATAAGGACCCACTTAATTACAAATGTCATTTAGAACAGTATATAGAAGCTAGTGATGGGGTCTTTTTATCAGAGTTGGGTTGATGGTTGGACTAGATGATCTTAAAGGTCACTTCCAACATACACAATTCTATGATTCTAGTATTTTATGGGAGTCTTCCTAGGCTTTGCTTCTAGGTATGAATATAGGACAGCTGTTCTGTCCCAGGGCAACTGGGTACCACATAAAGACTTGTGTCAAAATTTCCCCAGCCATACTGGTGGTGGGAAGTGATGAAGTCATCTCTGGTTGTCACCAGAGTTTCCCTTACTGTAGAAACTGTTGTGGTGGAGATCTGCGGCCACGTTTTGTTCATTTACGTGGAAGAATAATTAACTTTTTCTTCCTGGTGTTACTACCCGTGTGATAGCAGCCAGGCTACCATATAACACATTCTGTACTCTGGGGATTTCTGGCTTCTAAAGATGTTAAAAATTCATCTGGTTTTTATGTAGATAGGTAGTTGTATAATGCCATGGTGCTGGCTGCTGTTAGACCTTGCTTTGCCACTGACTTGCAGTTGCTCTGCTTTAGGTTTGTTGAAACTGTCCATAGGGTACATGTAACTATATTGAAAAAAATAAGTCCTCAGAGTGTAAAGGGGTATTTTTAAAAAATGTAATAAAATCATAGAATAACAAGACCATTATTTGAATTTTTCCATTGCAGGGCTATGAACGAGTTTACCGTGAAATCCCAGACATTAACCTGGACGTGCCACACTCCTATTCTGTGCTTGAGCGGTTTGTAGAGGAGTGCTTTCAGGCTGGAATCATCTCCAAACCACTGAGAGACCTCTGTCCTTCAAGGTACTTGTTTTATTGTAGATAGGCAAAAGTGCTGCTTTTTGTGCCCGCTGTAGGTAACAGAAAGCAGGATCTTATGACGAAAGTATGACAGATTGGAACTGGAAACTATGAGGATAGAGAAACAGAGGGTTTTGGACTGGTACAAAGTTTATTAAGAAGCTGCCCTGTTGGGAAACCTGTTGTGTGGAGGCTGGGATAAATATTTGAGGAGAGAAAGGCTCTGGTGAGTCCCAGGCAGCACACACACCTGCCTCTCCTCTGGGGTGCTGATTGGCTTGGTAGAGATCAGCGCAGTACGGAGATGGAAGATGCAGGCATCACAATGATCCATGCAGGTGGCAGAGGAAAGCTGTCAGCTACAGTGGGGGGATGAAAAAAAACAAGAAAAAAAAATACGCTTTCAAGCAATGGCTTGACCATACTAAATGGCATGAATAGAGTTCTAAGAGGAGACAACCAATCCTAATGGCAAAAGGGAATAGGATATTTATGTGGAATAATTTCTACACATGTGATCCCTTCATTTCTGCCATGTGGTTCGTATTGGTGCTTTTTGTTATTGTTTACTCAGCATAAATAATGCTGTTTGAAGTGTAGCTATTGGTTGTTCTGTTCTCTCCTTACTGGTCACAATACAAGTCATAAGTTCAGTTTCCTGGGGGAACACGTAAACTTTAACAGTTTTAACGTAACATTTTTAATCACAATTTACACATAGGGAATACTATTTATTAGATCTTTTCCAGTTTGGGTGTCTTGTTCGGCTTCTTAAACCATCTTACAGCTTGTGAGGAATTCAGGTTTTGAAATGTCAGTGTCTTTACCAAAACCAGCCTCTACTTGTGGATTTCAGGCTTAACATTGCATTTGTGTGTAGCTTGGTATCAAATGTTTTGCAGGTTTGGGGTGTGGGAGGGTTGAAAGTCATCACTGCAACAAAAGCTTTTACTTTATTATATACATAACCTTATTATTATATATATATGGTTTTTATATATATTATTTTATATATAACTGAAATATAGCCTTTTTTAACAAAAGGTTATACTTCAGTTACTAATAAACTGAGAGGCATTTTTGGTTTATGTACTTCAGTTTTGAGTAGAAAAACACTATTCCTAGGCTTTCAAACTAGGATCTTTTTGCAAGTGTGAACATAAAAAGGTGAGCAAAGTAGAAAGCACGTGACAATGCAAATTTTTGAAAAGCTTCTTGCAGATAAACCTAGATGTAAGATTCAGCTGGATTTTAAGCAATTTACCAGTGATAAGAATGTCAGCTAATCTTGCTGAACTTGCACAACTTAAATTTGACTCCAAGACCGAGAGAAGATTCTTCTCAGTAACAGATAAGAAAACACAAGTGATGCTACTTTGAGCTGACTGAAAAGGTACTTTCTACTCTCTTACAGGGGCAGAAAGCGTTTTGTGAGTGAAGGAGATGGAGGTCGTCTTAAGCTAGAAAGCTACTGAATGTGAGAACCAACTCCTGAAGCCTTAAAAGTTTAAAGGGAAAGTAGATACCTATATATATACAAACACGCATGCTTTTTTGGTGTGTGTATGTATATATGTATACACATATATAATATACCAAAATTTTAAGAGTTGCTTAGCACAGTTCATATTTTTTTAAAAGCACATGTTTTGGGTACAAATCATTTTTTTTTAAATAGTTTTATAAATTTCAGAAAGAAAACGTCTGTCTTTGGGCATATAGTAGAACAACTGGCCACTCTGCTGTGGGGGTGCCTTTAAATAAGCTATCTTTTTAAGTGCCATATGTTTATGACCTAATCATTCCTTGTTTGCATCGATGTCTGACTGCCACCCTTTCTTTCAAGGACAGTGTTGTCATCATAAAATCACTGGTTTACACAAAGCTTTATAGAAGGGTCAAGTTAAGCTGCTGTGATCCATTTCCATTGCTGCTGAAGAAATACTGTGCTTTGGGAGAAAAAGAAAAAAAAGCTGTTTCTTTGTTTTAAAGAGCCCGAGAAAATGGAGTTTGGTCCTAAGATTAATTCATCTGTTCCAGGGGAGAACACTGGTTGGTTTTAGTCCCCGTTTACCAAACTCGTCTTTTTTTTTTCTATGTAACTGGAAAAGTGAAAAGTTCTGGTAAAACATATTAAAAATATTTTTTGTGAAGCTTTCCTTTCTCCCTCCATTATTTATTTTCTTTAAGCAGAACAAATGTAACTATGTTTACATCACTGAAGTGAGTGCAATGAAGCCGTACATCTAACATCACCCTCTTGTATTCCTGCTGGAGCGAGTCCAGAAGAGACCATGAAGATGATCAGAGGCTGCAGCATCTCTCCCGTGAGGACAATCTGAGAGAGTTGGGGTTGTTCAGCCTGGAGAAGGCCCCAGGGAGACCTTATAGACCCTTCCAGTACCTAGAGGGGCCTACAGGAGAGATGGGGAGGGACTCTGAGGGAGTGTAGTGATGGGAGAAGGGGTAACGGTTTTAAACTGAAAGAGGGGAGATTTAGATTAGATATTAGGAAGAAATTCTTTGCTGTGAGGGTGGTGAGACCCTGGAACAGGTTGCCCAGAGAAGCTGTGGCTGCCCCATCCCTGGAGGGGTTCAAGGCCAGGCTGGATGGGGCTTTGAGCAACCTGGTCTGGTGGGAGGTGTCCCTGCCCAGGGCAGGGGGTTGGAACTGACCCTTTCAGCGCGGTACCTCCGCGGGGCCGGGCTAGGGCCGGGCCGGGGGTGTCCCCTCAGGCGGCCGCGCCGCCTCCAGCGCCGCCCGCCGCAGCTCCTCCAGCTTCTCCAGCGACACCGACTTGAGGGGCAGCACCTTGGGCTTGCACAGCACCATGGCGGCGGCGTCCTCCACAGACAGCTGCCCTGCGAGGGGAGAAGAAGGAACGTGCGTGAGCGCCGGTGCCCGGGCCGGGCCGGTTGCCGGGCCGCAGCCGCCGGCGGTACCTTGCTTGGGCAGCACCTCCCGGAACACGGCTTTCCCCTCCGGCATGGCGGCTCCCTCACGGCGGCGCGCAGGCGCCGTGCTGAGGGGGGATAGGCAAAAAACCTACAACTCCCAGCCTGCACTGCGCACCGCACCGCCCGCCCTTTACGCAGGCTCCAATACCTCGGTGCATGCTGGGAATTGTAGTCTTGGGGAGAGGCGGCGAAAGGAGCTACCGGCTCCCCGCCAGTCGCCGTGGGGCCCGGCTGCCCCGGGGCTCGGTGTGGCGGTCGCGGCCCGGGCTGAGCCGGTCCCGGTCCCTTCGGTGGGGCGGTGCCATTAAACCTGTGCGGGCCTGCCCGGCCCCACAGCCTGCCGCCGCCTGCCGCCCCGCCCGGCCTGCCCCCCTCCTCTTCCTCCTCCTCCTCCTCACCGCGGCGCTCGAGCTTTGGGGCTTTTGGGGGTTTTTGTTGTTGTTGTTTAACTTTTTTTTTTGGATTTCGTCCAACAGACGGGCTTGGCCAGGGCGTACGCGTTCCCATTTCCATTCTCGGGCAGGGCCTTGGGGATCGGCGATGTGAATCACGGCGCTGTTTAACATGTAAACAGTAGTAAAACCCCGCGTCTTTCTTCCTAAACGCTGAGGGCTTAAATGTCGCCAAACCTGACGGGCCGGTGCACCTGAGATCCACCACCAGGATGGGGTTGGAGGATCCTCGGCAGCTTCCCTCAGAGATCCCACCGTGAGAGCCGGGGTCGCTGTGGGGGGGGGGGTTGGCCTGTCCGGCCCCGTGTCCCTGTCATGTCCCGGTGTAATTTTAGATTTTACTAACGAGCTCATCTGCGTCACGGTGTCTACCTTGGCCTTCGCTGGGGGACTGACAGTTCAGGCTCGTAATCCCGCTCGCCCAGCCCCAGCTGGTGGTGACCATTCCTTTAATCGTTATGGGACTTGGCTTCGTGCTGCCGTGCAGGGACTGGCCGTGCATGGATAAAATGAGGGAGAAAATTATTTTTGCTAATCATAGAAGGGTTTGGATTGGAAGGGACCTTAAAGATCATCTCGTTCCAACCCCCTGCCCTGGGCAGGGACACCTCCCACCAGACCAGGTTGCTCAAAGTCCTATCCAGCCTGGCCTTGAACCCCTCCAGGGATGGGGCATCCACAGCTTCTCTGGGCAACCTGGGCCAGGGTCTCACCACCCTCATTGTAAAGAACTTCTTCCTAATATCTAATCTAAATCGCCCCTCTTCCAATTTAAAACCATTACCCCTTGTCCTGTCACTGCACTTCCTGACAAAGAGTCCCTCCCCAGCTCTCCTGTAGCTCCCTTCAGATATTGGAAGACTCTTACAATTTATGCCCGGCTTTGCCAAGCCCTTTCTCTAGAAGAAGATGGATCCGGGGCCGAGTCTCAGAGCGACCCAGCGGCGCCCCTCCCGCTCCCTGACCTGTGTCAGTTTCATGTCAGTTTCATGTCGGGATGGACGCGGCCTTGAAAGCGCCAAGTGGAATTTTGAGGGGAAAAAAAAACCAGAAAAGGAGCCCCCCGCCCTCCCCGCCCCCCCC